TTTGCTTTTGTTGTTCAATGAGGTTGTTTCTTTCCATTATGAACTGTCAAAGGCCGTTTGTTTTTAAAGAACTTTCGATAGAGCGGCAGCGCGGTCCGAGACCTAAAAGCGATAAAAGAACGGTGGCATAGCTGTAAGGGAATTTAACATTTTCTATGTATTCTAGCAACAGCGTTTAATTGTCCTAAAATAACGTTTGATGCAATGATTGTCATATTTTTCCAAAGCCGCTGGCCTGCTGAACTGACTGCAGGGCCGTACCCTCTTTGTCCCGTTCAGTTCTCACTTGATAATACGTATTTCTGCTTTCAGGGAAACTAACAAATACTTCAATTATTGAAGTGTTTTATATATTTTATTCCCGGCCTTTTAATAAAACAGCTTCTTAGCATGTATATGGAAGATGCGCGTTTTAAAGACAAAGAGAAAAGGATTCGAAATAACTCAGGGGAGAGCCTGATGGGCATCGTCTTGTAACGGAGTAAACTTGTTGTTTATGACATCACTCAATGTGTTCAGGACTGAACGCCAATATTTTATGCTTCCGGCCTGGAAATAAAGAGAATGTTTAAGAATAGTATCTTTTAAAAAAACCAGACCCGGGGGTTTTCCTATATTGGCCTACGGCGGGGAGGCTCCGCCGGAAATGGTTACCTATGTTGGTGTTTTTCATTAGCTAGTTTCTTACACAGTTTGTAATTAGTCCGATTTGAGTTAAATGTTGACAAGCCAAAAACAACTAATATATATGTACCAAAATCGAGAAGTCCAAAGACTAGTGCAACGCTGATTCAGAACAACGTGTATTGTTTTTTCATGACAATATTTCGGCTGGCCATACCAGCCTTCCGACAACCTTTCTCGAAATAGCTGTATAAGAAAGAGTAGTGATTTCACTTGTTGAAGTATATTAAAGGGTAGGGAAATTTGTCATTTGGGTCTGTTAAAGGGCCCAATAGGGCTATTAGATGAATGAAATGGCTTTGAAAAGTCCAGAAAACGTTCTGTTTTTGAGATTAGTAGCCTGTTGACAGACTCTCTACTTCCTCTTCAAAAGTCCGTAGAGCGCGGGTGATAAAATGTAAACCGCAGGGGATTTATTGACCACCAGTGCAAGGAAGTAGGAACAAAAAGAAAAATAAAACAACGTCGGTGTACAGGCTATTCTATATTACAGCAGTCAAAAGGGATACAAAGTTCTATAAACAATATAAACAATTATATTTGGAAGAGGCACCATTTGTCACTGATAGAAGGTGGTGGCTTTTACGGTTATCGGCTAAAATTTTGGCTCTTCTACGGCTATCGGTTAATTTTTTTCAGTTACGGTTAACGAAAAAGTTAAAAATTAACTTCTTTTGTTTCAAAAAGTTAAATATTAATTAACCTGTATTTTTTCGGTTCTTTAAATCAAAATAAAAGTCTTCGGATCATCTCGGGATGAAATAAGCTATTCTTTTGAAAAATTTTAACATTTGATAGATCATACTTTTTATAAAGTATTGCACTTCTGATATTATTTTACACATAGAAATGTCAATAGTCAATTTAAAAATAATCTTTGTGAAAAAGCAAAAGCAGACACGCGAACGCCCAACTCAAGGCCGGGGCGCAACATTCATTATAACAGAAATGCCGGTTTTAACACTAGAGAAGGATTATTCGCGTGAGACGGGTTATCCGTTTGATGATTCGCGTCAGATAGGTGATACGTCTTAATTTGGCAATGGAATAGTTTTAATTTTGAATAAACAATCCGCCTGATTTTTGAAGACAGGATTGTCCGTTCCAGATAGCCTGTGTACAGCCGCCCCCTCCCCTCAGAAAAAAATCGGAGAAGCGGTGTCTGTGGGGAGGGCGCGACTGTACACAGGCAGGAGCCCATCACAGGCTAGTCTCGGTCGGATGATCCATTTCTAGGTCTAGTGTGAAAACGGCCAATAACAAAATTCCCGTGTCCAGTGTTTTTAATGATAGCGAAGGACTGTACGGAACGACTGTCTTGCCGTTGCCTTGTCCGTAGGCCGCATTATTCCGCGCGGCTGATGCCTTTCGGGTCATGTGGTCCGAGCGAGTTCGCCACTGAAATGCCTTGACCGCGATTGCGTGGGAAGACGCCGAACAGGGACTAGGCATGGCGATGTCTACCGTACCGTCCGAGAAAAACAGCGAAATGTTGTTTATCGGCAACGTGTTTTACAAACAGTGACATCTCTGCGTGTTGTTTCACTACTGTTTTGAGGGCACGGCCTCCTGAAAATTGCAAATATTAATCCCCAGCAAGAAGCCACACTTTCGCTATGGAAAAAATTAGTTCCCCAAGAAAGCGCCGGAAATGGAGCCTAGGTCTTGGTTAACACCTAAAAGGCGCTTCGCCTAACGTGCGTACGGAGTCACAATAGCCGGGAAATAAAAAACGCAACCATAAGTGAGTTTAGTACCTTCCTTAAAAGTTGCAAAACTAGGGAACACTTTCCTTTACGGTGAACTCTTTTTTACGCTATTTACGGCTAACGGTTAAATTTTTTAAATTTTTACGTCTATCGGCTAAATTTTTGGCCGTTTTACGCCTATGGGTTAACCCCATTGAGACCCTCAAATAAAACAAACGAAAGAAAATAATATATAGATTTAGCCAGGGCTAAAAGCGAGGCTCCCATTAGTAAATTTATAATTTAAATTAAACAATAAACTTGTATTCGAATTCCACAATTCAGTTAACTTTAGAGCACATTTATGTGACTTTTGAGGGAAAGGCTACCTGATTTTAGAGAAAAATAATTTGCAAACAGCCCAAGAGTGAACCAAATCTTACATCGAGTTGATAGCCACATATGTACACGCAAAAACTGGTGATCATCTTTTATCACATTTAAGAGCCGTAATGGCTATTGATCACCGTAGATCAATTAGGCTTAGAAAAAAAAATCAGGCCAACGTTTTGGCGTTCGACAAGTTTACTTTGCAAAATCTTGCCAACAAATCTGGGTGCGTGTAAACCAACCTTTTATACCATGGACAGAAAGCAGTATTTCACAATACAAATTGCTCTCATTCAATATTCATAAACTGTTAAAAAAATTTTCCAAAATCACCTATACGGCCATCCGGTTCTCACTTTTGTAGTGCGAGCTGTAGCGAGTGTTTGAATGAACATTAACAGAGTTACGCTCCAAGATAATAAAGAATTTATCATGTTTATTTTTTATTTGATGATTTAACGCGCGGCATTTTGAGAACTCCTGCAAGCGATGTTCACTGAACGACTGAAAACAATCGGTATAGCGATTAAAATTGCAAGAGAGACTACCAACAATCAATAAAAGAAATATAATTCGGTGAAACATAAACAGAGACAACAATTTTCATTCAGGAAGACAAGTATTAAAGTGTCCCTAAATATCCTGAGTCTTCAAGCTTCAAGCTTAAGTTTGCTGAAGTTTATGTTTTAAGCCAGCTTCCCGGTGTTTGTTTTTTCAAAGACGAACTCGAGGCAAGAAAATCGCTCAAAGCTTTCTTTTCCGGCTAGAATTATAACTAAAGATTCTTTGGAACATTTTCTTTCTATTTGCGGTGAGAAACTGTCTAAAGGCTTTTTAAAGTTCTGTAAGATTATATCAAACCAGATACTCGGTGAGATCGTTGTCTCAAAACTTACAAACGCGCATAAACTAAATTCCCGCATAATCTACGCTCCACTTCATTAAATTAGATACAAAAAACAAACATGAAATACAATAATTTCTCGGGCTTACCATTCGAGATGCAGCTCCTGAAAGTTATCAGGTA